GTTTCTTATTAAATGGTATTTGAGGTGATCTTCTTGTCTCTTTCACCAGAAACTTCACCTGTGTTCATGTAAATTAGACCACACTTCCTGCTTCCTACAGAAGACGTTCAGGCCTTTTTTTTATTTTTTATTTTTGTCCACTCTTGAGTTTCACCCGGTCCGACCCTCTGCCCTCCCCGACAAAGTGAGTCATCGTGCTGGTCTTCAGCTGACATCTTCCACAGAGGCTCTCTGAGCAGCTGAGCTCATTACGGAGGTCATGGGCAGCAGATTAGGAAGACAGATTTACTCCCAGAAAGTGGGACAACACATTTGTTCACTCTGCTTCGCTGTTTTAAATGTGAGACAGGAAAATGGAATTTATATTGACATGTAGCCTACCTTAAAACCCATGCCAGTATATTATCATGTAAATACAATACATCGCATGTTCTCCTGACATTAAGTAAACACACAGAATATACACTCTATACACAGAAGACCAACATTTCCAGTTCAGTGTGTGAGAAATATGTGATTTTTAATACATGAGGAAGAGCAATAGTTCTTGCAATCCCCGTGACATATATAATACAGTCTCACGCCACTTTTTCATTTTCCTTTTATCTACTTCAGACTTATTGAAATGCTTTTATCTGGATAAGTTCAAGTGTGCCGGGCGGTGAAAGCTTTATGCAGTTTGACACTTTACAGCTCGTGATCTCCTCTGTCTCTGGGAGGAACTTTCACAGCTTCAGAAAGAAGACATGTTTGAAAAATGAGGACGTTACGTTTGGTCCTCATTTCCCCAAAACGGCGGTTTGAACGTCAGGACTTGGTTTAAAGGTTGAAGCTAGAATTGGGCTTAGATTAAGGGTGAAGATTAGGTTTAGGCGGTAGCTGCGATGGTAAGATTAGAGACGAGGAAAGGCATTATGTCATTAAGGGTTCTCGTGTGCGTAGAAGTATGTGGGTGTGTGCAGCGAGTCATTTCATTCCGTAGTAACTCGAGAGGCGAGTTTTTTTTTTTTTTATGTTGACATTCTGTGGAAAGAGGAAGTGGGTACTCTAGTAGCAACGCGCCAAAGATAAGATTCAGTGTAGTATGAGTAGTTTAAACTCTATTAATGAGCAAAATGTATTAAAGTAGTGTGAACAAGAGGTGTCACGGGTGGGTAGTAGTGAGTTAAAATGTTTTATTGCAGCTGTGGTGTTCGTCTTTGAACATTTAGGTGTCACGCCTCTTGGTCCGCAGCTCAAGCATGCCCTCTGATGTCACTTTGTAAAACTGCAAATGAACATTTTCTGTTCCACGTTTAAGAAAAAATAAATAAAAAGAGGCTACAAGAAAAAAGAAACAACTACTACATGACCTTTATTTCATATGAAGGGGTCAGGGGGCCCTAATACTCCGACAGTTCAAGTTCCAAATGCAAAAGAGTGAGTCAAAAGTGTGCCTATGTCACAACCAAAATGTAACGGCCACTTCTGGGTGACCTGTGTCAGCAAGTTGCACAACTAAACTGTCCTGACACGGGTTATTCTGACCCTCCAACAAGGCAAAACAAGTCTGGCAAGAGTTTGTGTCGAGCATTTTGTACAGCAAGCCATAAGGATTTACACCGTTAAACCAAAAGAATAAAGACTTTTTGCACAGGGACTTTGTGTATGACACGTTGTCTGCTTTTATTTTTGTCAAAGTTATGTTTGTTTTTTTCCTTCGTTGGGACAAACTTTTCATTGAACTTGCACTCAGAATATAAAAAGCACAAAGCACAATGCCAGTGTAACTTTGCCAACAACAAAAGTAGACACAAGTCACAGTGACGAATCACCCACTTATCTATATTAAAGTGTTTTGCTTTTAATTCTTGACTTATGAGATATGCAGAGATGTTTTTTGTACATAGTTTGAGGCGAGCAGAATTGGTAAATGGCTAAACTGGAGACTAAAAACATTGTCCCAACCAGTATGCAAAACAGTTCCAACAAACCCTGAGCTGTGTTCGTCTGACCGTAACTGCAAGATTTACATTTGCAGGCACTTTTACTTTAATTTTTTTAAAGCTGTACAGCAGAAGAGCTACAGTAGGAACCATGCAACAATGCTAATACTGAACTAGATGTATTGGACAAATGTGATGATAATTATTTAATATTTATTCAGTGGACTCTACAATACAATTTACAGTCGGTTATACAGTTGTCTATCATATTCTAGAAGTTAAGGAATATGTAGAAAGTCCTTATAAAGTCATGTATTAGGTTGGGTTTGTTATTTTCTTTATATAAAAAAACAGCTACACACTCAACTGAATCATGTACATAAACATTTATTAAAGACGTGCTGCTGGATGTAAGATCAATGGCATCACGGTAGGAGCCATTCTGTCCAGTAGATGGCAGTGATGTGTATGTGAGCAGGTTTGCGAATAATTCTGTCGTAGAAGAAGAAGCTGGAGGCGGAAGTAGGAGGCACAAAGTAAACTATCCGCGGACAGCAGTGTGTTTTAAAGGATTAAAGTTGTTTTCAAATGTTCTGTATTTGTGTCATCAGCACCGACTGATGAGGCTGATTGCAGCCGCTGTCGCTGCTTTTATCGCTGTTTGTGTTTATTACAAGACTTTTAACGAAGAAGAAGAAGACAGGTCGGTTTAAAAGCCTTTACTGCAACTTTATGCTGTTTACACGGTTCATTAGCAGAAGGTAGGTCTCAGTAATTAATGACACATACTTTTGGACCAAACTTCATTCTAAAAACATGTGTTTTACGGTATAAATGCATTTTATTTAGTTTAAAACCTTAAGTTACACTTTCTTTCAAACTTTTATCTGCATCAGTTGGATTCATAATGACAGTCGGCGAAACGTTTTACTA